CACCATAGCCAGCCCGTGCCCCTTTAAGGGGTCCGGGGCCAGGAGGGGGGCAATAGAGTTTCCCTGGTGTTGGCCAGAGTGGCCACCAGGGAAAGCTGGAGAGGGCTAGCCTCCCACTAGTTCGAATTAAGGGGCTACAAACCTCTTAATTCGAACTAGTAAGTTCAAACTAGGCTTAGTCCTCGTAGAATGAGGTTTACCTAGTTCGAACTAAGCGCTCCGCTAGTTCAAATTAAGTTCGAACTAGCGGAGCGCTAGTGTAGTGCCTATCAAAGTTAATTCGAACTAACCTCTGTTAGTTCGAATTAACTTTGTAGTGTAGACATAACCATTCTCTGTTAAAGAAATATTTCTATAGAATCCTATTGCCTTTTAAATTCTGTGGGCTTTTTCCATAAGAGTTTATACTAGAATGTTCCTATGAAAGAACTATCTATAATTCAGAATCTTTGCAAAATGATGTGTGTTTCTCATTCATTATTGAAAAGCTGTAATTGATTTTCTCACTCTGTTCCTATGGCAGATCTATGAACATTTTTCTCAGTTTTGTAATTGACTCATAGGTGCATTATTGTTGCTATGGAAAAAAATCTCACATATGAAAACTAAAAAAAAAAGTGCAGTGTTATTTTTACTATATCATTTAAAACGTCAATAAAAAGATTGTCATGCACTTACAGGGTTATGTATTATCTATGAACTCCATGACTGGTGACAAACAAGCCAAACCCTTTATAAAGTTATCACTTGTTTCTCTTATTTTTTCTGAACTTTTTTTGTTTTGCTGTGTTTCCCAGTCAGCTGTCTTCCAACCCTCTCCCTTTCTTCTCCTAAATGGCTTAATGCCAACAAAACTTTTGATGAAAGGACTTTAGAAACCTACTAAGGAAAGACTCAGATCTGCTACTTTGCAGGGGAAGTTCATTCAGTGGGAACTACTGGAAATTCTGTTCATGAAATCCTAAAAATGCAAGGAAAACAAGAGGGAGTGAATATAATCATAATATATTATTTCCATTTCCCCCTGCCTCAGCCCCTCATACACTC